ACTGACTGAGATGTCACTATCTCTTGGTATGCGTGACTGAGAAGTCATTATCTCTTAGCATGCGTGACTGAGAAGTCACTATCTCTTGGCATGCGTGAATGGAGAGGTCACCATCAATCGTAAAACATGGTGAAGCATTGAATGATTGAGAATCCAACGTTATCATTATAAATATTCATTTTCGTGGTCATTTTATTCATTCAACCTTCTAAGCTTGTTCCTTATTCTTGTGAATCTTCTCCTTCTAAAATGTCTTCAATCTATGTTATTGTTCACTCTGATGGTGCCATTAACTAATGTCCTAATGAAGGAGTCACGTTCACCTCACCATCAGCGAAATTAGTACATCTAAAGAGAGGAGTGACTCTACAAAGGCTCAAGAAAGTCATCCACACAAAACTTAACCGAGACGCAAATGAAAGGGTGACAACCATACATTTTCGCTACTCAATTAGACTTGGCCCAGGAGTTAGCAACTACACATGTGTTGAGTTGAACGATGATGAAGACATCGAGGCACTCTTCAACATCCATGATTCAAATCAACTTCAATCAAGTATAGAATTATATGTTACATTTGCTACAAACGTAACCCAACCACCACAACTTTCACCTTCACCTTCACCTTCACCTTACCAAACTTACGAAACCATACATCCATCCTTTTCAACATATGATATAAATTATGACCTTCAGTCCTACACACAACTGTTAACTGGTCCATTCATAGACCTCAATGAAATACCCTCCGAACCATTTCAGCAAACCCTACCCTCTCAGCCTCTTGAAGAAACTCCCATTGAAGAACATGTTGTTGTGGGTCTCCCAATCGAAGTATTTGACCCTTTTAACGAGGACGAAGATGAAATCCTATCTCAGCAGCAGGATGATGAAGAAGACTCCCTCCTACTTCCAAATATTCCACCATCACAACCATTACCTTTATACAACCCACCTCCACATTTTCTAAACATTCCCAGTCAAATATAAGAACATGACCATGAGTTTGGCCATGTCCTTGATCATGAAATGGTAGTGTATCTGCCTGGAACACTATTTGTTGGCCAACACTTCCTAACAAAAGAACAAGTGTAAGACGCCATAAATAGATTCCATATTGTCAATTATTGCACTTACAAGGTGAAAATGTCAAGCACAACTAGGCTTGTCGTGGAATGCGTTCACAACGACTGTGCCTGGAGATGTTGCGCTATATTGCGCGCCCAACAGCAACACTGGGAAATAATGAAGCTTGAAGGGTGCCACATATGTGCTTCCCCACTCATTTCACAAGATCACAACAAGTTGCGATCACGAATGATTTCTCAAACCATTCGTGAAATTATTGAGACTGATCCATCCACACACATCTCAACCATCTTAGCCCATATAAAGTCCACAATGGGTTATACAATCAGCTATAGAAAGAGATGGCTAGGGAAACAGTATGCCATTGAGAATATCTTCAGAAATTAGGAGGAGTCATATCATAAGTTACCTAGACAGTTGCTTGCAATGCAACTGTATGTTCCGGGCTTCATATAAAAATTGAGTACACAACCGACATACAACGGTGGCTTACTTGAAGAGGGGAATGTCTTCTTCAATAGGTTGTTTTGGACCTTCAAGGCATGCATTGATGGTTTTTCCTTCTACAAACCAATTGTTCAAGTGGATGGTATATTTTTTACTAGCAAATACAAAGGGACTTTATTAGTGGCAGTTGCACAAGACGGCCGCAACAACATAATTCCCATTACTTTTGCTTGGTTGAAGGTGAAACTAGCGATACATGATTCTTTTTTTTGAAAAACTTAAGGAGATACGTAACCCCGTAAGAGGGGTTGTGCCTCATTTCGGATCGTCACGAGGCCATAAGAAGTGCATACTCTAAAAATGGAAGTGGTTGGACAGAAAACAATTCTGTCCATATCTATTGCATTAGACACATTGCACAAAACTTCATATGACGATTCAAAAATGCTACACTGAAGTAAGATGTCGTCAATATGGATCATTTTAATTTTTTACATACTCTATATTATCATTAATATTTTATAAAATTATTTAGCTAGTTATATTAATTTAATTTGTAATCTTGTTTCCAGCATATGAGATGACTGAACTGAGATTCTTTTACTATTACAACATAGTAAAAGATAATAATCCTGAAGCTGCACAATGGTTGGACAACATCCTAAGGGAAAAATAGACACTAGCATGGGACAACGGATGACGCTAGGGACACATAACAACAAACCTAGCAGAGTCAATCAATTCGGTCTTGAAGAAAACCAGAAACTTACCAATTTGCTCTATGGTCATGGCAACATACACCCGTTGCAATAAGTTCTTCATTGACAGAAGCAAGGAAGTAGATGCAATGATTAATGCTGGACATATGTACTCGGAGGTTACAACTAAAACAATTCAAGATGCACAGTCAAAGGTAAACACTCATAGAGTCATCACCTTTGATAGAACAAGCACTATATTTTTAGTCGAAGAAACGCAACATCCGACAGAAATTTGATCCGTAGGAAGATTTACAGTACGGTTAGATGAAATGTGGTGTGACTGTGGCAAGTTTCAAAAAGTTCACATCCTATGCTCGCATGTTCTTACTTCATGCTTACACGCACATTACAACTTTAATATCTACATATCTCCTGTGTATACCTTACAACAAGTTTCTAAGGTATACGAAGGTCAATTTGGTGAACTTAGACACGAAGACTATTAGCCATCTTACACAGGGCCCAACTTTGTGTCCAAATCCATAACTGAAAAGAACTTCAAAGGGTCGACCCAAGTCCAGTAGGATAAGAACAAAGATGAACATTAAAAAACAATAAAGTCGAGCAAAAAATTGTTCTTATTATCATACCCCTGGTCACACAAGAAAGACATATCCAAACATTGCTCAAGCTTCTAGTTCCCGCCATTAATTTTTATTATTTTTATTATTTTAAATTTTTCCTAATGTCATTTTTAATTTTATGAATGTCATTGCAACTTTTAAATTTTTAGTATTTGTAATTTATATTAAATATATAATTATATATATAATATATCTACATAATATTATTTTATTATATTTATTCATGTTAATAACACATTTTTTAAAATAAATAATTATGTATAAATTTTAATAAATATTAATATTTCAAAATAAATAAATAAACTGGTTATTATTTAATACTTTATTTATTTTATAAATATATAATATTAAATAAATTTTTATTATAATTTTTTAAAACAAATTTAAATATAAATAAATTGTTGTTGTCATTTTTATTTTTTTTAAATATAATATTAAATAACCAAAAATATAATTTTAGAATATAATTTTAATATTATTTTCAAAAAAATTTATTAAATAATATAATAAAAATAAAAATATTATTTATTATCTTAAATATATTAAATAAATTTTAATAAACATTTAAAATTAATATAATATGTTATTTATTTTAAAATAATATAGAAATTAAAACATAATTCAAATAATAAAACTTATTTTATTAAAATAATATAAAAAATATTTATAAATATTTATTTTAACAAAATATTACTATATAAATATATAAATATAATTAAAATAATAATATTTATATTTTAATATAAATATATAGAAAAAAATTAAAAACTATCTCAGATAGATAGAAAATGAGTCTAGTCTCGTAAATATATTGCTGCAGAGTCCATTTTAGTATTTAAAATTTTATTTTGTAATATTACAATAAAAAAGTCATCCAGTTGCAACAGATAATATTAAAAAAATGTTTTAATATTCCCTAATTCACTTAACCTTGTAGCATTTTCAGCTTTAAGTACTTTTAGGCCCAATGAACATTTTAGCTCTAACTCAAAGATTAAAGCTAACCCATTTGACAATTCTATTAACGTATGTAGAGTTGACTCTCTTTTTTTCATATACACAGGATATTAGGGGATTGCTTTTGCAACCACCCTCCCCTTTCTCCTTTTTACACCCAATTATTATTTTTTTCTTTGCAAATTTTGAAATTTTATTCTCTTTTGGAACCCACTTTCATCTTCTTCTCTGTGCAGAACAGTTAGCATAAGCACCACCAAGCACATTAATGGACAAGTTTTCCAGTACAATCTAAGCGTTGATTCTTGCTTGTATAAATTGATGGCACACAAAAATAAGTTTTCAGACTAAGAATTTTACACGTCCAAAAATTAATTTTTAGAATTATTAACCATTTTAAAAATTAGAAATGTACATATTAAAAAATTATTTATGAAATTGTTAACAACAATTAAAGATAGATCACACAATGCTATTAAGCGTCAAAAACTTCTAAAATTAGTAACGATTTCCAAAAATAAAATTTTAAAATTAAGATGTTACAATTTCAGAAAATAATTTTGAAAATTCAATTTTTACACTTGAGAAAATTATTTTTTAAAATTATCAACCATTTCCAAAAATAAGTTTCAAAAATTAAGATTTTACAATTCCAAAACTAAGTTTCAGATTTAAAATTTTACAATCACGGAAAATAATTTCCAGAATTATTTACTATTTTTGAAAATAAGTTTTTGAAATTAAAATTTTACATAAAGGATATATTAGAGAAAAAAAGTTACAAAAACTTTTAATAAAAGTGTGAAGAAGAAAAAAAGTGCAAAATGCAACTCCCAAGATAACATATGCAAGACCATATAAAATGTGCATGAAGATAAATTGGACCATTTTTTAACAAATATAAAATTGGACAGTTAGACAAATTGGTAGCTTAACAGAAACTTGACCAATCTAGCCAATCATACCACTATAATGTATGTAATTCCTCCTTCAGTTCCACTTATTTCAGTTTGTTCCAGCCCAGGTTGCAGAACAATTAGCATAAGCACTGCCAAGCACATTAATGGACAAGTTTTCCAGTACAATCTAATCGTGTATTCTTGCTTGTATACAATGAAGGCACATAAATCTAAAGCAGAAGGCAAACAATAAGGAAGAAGTGAAAGTGTACAAGAAACACAAGTGGAAATTAATTATAAGAATGGTGTACATATCAATTTAATCCAACAAAATTTTCAATTGACACCTACCATTTCCAAGAATAGTGTACATTCCAATTCTCACCTACAAAAATTTCAATTGCCACCACCTGCTCATTCAAAGTGGTATTGGATGACAAGTATTGAACACAGAGCAAAAAAGCAAACAATTTGTGTAATCTTGATTGTGTTTTACCTGCTCCCATTTGATATGAAACACTCTTGGAGAATATCCAAAAAAATAAATCAAACAATGACTACCAACTATTGCCTCATGAGTCTGCTAAGCTCCATTGAAGTCACACATACAATTTTTATCACCACATTGAGGGCACATAAACTTGTTCTTTGAGATTCTGAGTAGCACTTTCGGTAGGGAAACCACGGACTGCACCAATAGTCCATTGAGCTATAATTCCTGCTGCAATAGCAAAACGTAGCTGTCTCTCCAAAATATCTTGATTTTCAAACATTTCAGGGCAAGTGGTTAGCTTTCTTATAATAGCAGCCACAACAGCATCACCTGAGCCAGTTCTATCACAAGTATATGGGGTTATGAGCACATCTTCAGTTCCAACCACAGCCCCATCAAAAGAAGGGGTATAGTAGTGAACTCTAAGTGTTCCATCCGTCACAAATAGGAATTTGAGTCGATCATGCCACAAAGGGGAGACTTCCTCAGCAGTGTAATGGTAATACTCTTGTAGATTCTTGGTTTGTTCATAATTTTCAGCGAAGTATTGCGGCCGATAATTTCTCTTCCTCTCATAATATTCTTCATCTAAAAGGAATTCTAGCTCACTTCTTGAAACTTCAATGATGTCTGCTTCATTCCATGCTCTTTTGATTATTTCTCTTGTTTCGTCACGTGATCTCCACAGAGGTAATGGCAGATTTAAATCAAAAAATACAAGGCCACCAAACTTCCTAGTCCACTTAATTGCTCTGAATAATGTCGCTTCCATTGAAGGGGATGTTAGAACTTCTGAATTGAAATGGAAAAGCCTAGCCTGCAATGGCCCACAAAAAAGAAGTCAAACAATTCAATGAGATTAACATTTACAAGCCAGGTTTTAATTGTGTTAAGGGTAAATTGTTTTTTTCAAAAAAAAAAAAAAAAAAGACTAAAAATATAATGGCAATATTAGCAGCTAACTTTTGAAAGCTAAATGCTTCTTTCGAAAGAAACTAGCTTTCAAAAGCTACAAGCTGATTTCATTTTTTATTTAACAAACTGTTCTACAAGCTTATTGACGCTCCTAAATAAGTTACAGGCTACTTTTGCAAAACATAGCCTTCATCAGCAGCTTAGAGTTTATTGAAAAGAGCATTTATTACGCTTTGTATCTTCAATTCAATGTAATAAAAGTGTTTTTTTTACAATAAAAAATTTACTAGTTTTGGATGTTTAAACTAAGTCCCTAGGTTAAAATTAACAAAACCCTTCCTTTCACGCTCACAGCATACACATCTTAAAGTTTTATCCTTCCCACAATAAGCACATCTCATATTTTCATCCATCTTTGTTACGCTTAAACGATAAACAACAAATTTCACTCCATCAGAAGTAATGGTTATCCTCGTCACCCTTTCATCCACAATGCAACAGATTAAAAAAGATCGCTTACAACAAACACTGGGCGCCTCCACACACAATTCAACGAAAAATGGTTCACTGCTTTAGCAAGTCCACTCATAAATCCCTTTCCAAACAAGTCCGTAGGAATATGATTTTCAATCCAACCAAATCAGAGCCCTTAACTCCATCAAAATATCAACAGAAAGAGCAAAGACACACACAAAATAATGAACACAAACTCACCTCTTTCAAAACAGCAAGGTTGAGTTCAGATGCAAGAAGAGAATCCTCAGCAGAGTGCTTTACAGTTTCCATCTTCAACTTCCCACCCTCAAACATCACCTTCATATAAGAGCACGCCGTTCTGCATCCCGAATCGAACTTCACCCCTCTCGTCTGCACCCTCTCTTTGTTCATCATCAGCACCATCTCGTCCCCCAACTCGTCATCCCCCACTTTCCCCAAGAACGCCGCGCGGCCCCCAAGACGCACGTGCGCCACCGCCACGTTCGACGCAGGCCCACCCGGCGCACGTGCGAACTCCGGGGGCTTCCACTGCAGCATCTTCCACTCGGAGTATATGTCAGGGTGCATCGGGTACAGCTGCACCCGCACCGTAGGGAGAAACTCCCTCCGCGCCGCACCGAAGCAGCATATTAAAGGTGGATCCTCGTAGGGGAAGTCAATGCCGTCGTCGTAGTCTGAAAAATCTTCTTCTTCTTCTTTTGGCTCTGCGTTTTGGGGTTGTTCTGTTGTCGTTTGGGTCTGGGTTTCTGGGGTGGGGGGTTTCTTTTTTCTGCCGCGTCGTTTTGGGGATGGGGAATCGACGGTAGAGGCTTTAAGTGGGTGAAAGGTTGAGTTGGGGGAATGGAAGGTTCGAGATTGAATGTTGGGAAAGGGAGTGAGTGTGGGAAGAAGAAGAAGTTGGTGAATTGTTGCCATTTGTTTGGATCAGTTGAAGGGAAGGGTTTATCGTTCATGTTTTTGGGCTTTGACTGTGAAGCATGTTATCGGGTAACCAGGCGTCCTTCAAATTGCGCCTTATCCGAAGCGGGTCAAAAAGGGTTCATTTATTTATTAAAAAATAAATAAAACAAATATTAATACTAATCTTTAAGAATAATTGTAAATCTCTATAACGTTAAATAGATTATAAGATTAGATTACTACATCACTAGATAATTGGTTTAATGACTAAGATTGTAATTGATTTACTCAATCATTGGTTCAATTAATTAAATTATTAGTATAATTATTTTTTTTCTATTTAAGGATTAAATTTTATTTTATTTTCTAGCTTTATTTTAATTTATTTTTATTATTTAATTTTTTAAATATTTTAAATAAGTCCTTTTTTATTAATAAGATTAACTTCGTTAAAAAAAAATAATCTTTTTTATGTTACACATACTATTTTGAATTTTTCATCTTTTTTTTAGAATTGTTTTATTTATTATTATTAATTTTTTTTAAATCTTCAATTTTGCACATTGTTCATCGTTGTTTTTCTTAATGAGAATAAATTTAGGCAAAAAAAAAAAAAAAAGATTATCATTGAGATTCAAGAAAAAAATATTCTTTGAAAAGGTATTTGGGAAAGTTTCATAAAGTTTGTTTTTTTTATAGATCCAAAACTTAAAGATGTAATAACTTTGCAAGACATTGTGAATCTGAACAAAAACATTTTATTGGGTGGTTAGGTGTACTTTTACATTTGTTAGAATGTCTTTTGAAGGAAAAAGAAAAGAAAGAAAATGAAGTTGATTTATTGTATGGTCATCACATTGAAAGGGGGAATTAAAATAAACAATTATTTTTTAATTTAAAGTTATTTATTGGTGAGTTTAATAATGAGAAAATGTTAAATTTTTTAAGATATTAGTAAGTGAAGTGTTCTGAATTTTTGTTTTATTTGTTTATTTGGGAAAAAGGGTATAATTTAGTTGTTTAAAGTTTGGATTTTGGTGATTGGTTAAAGAAATGATGAAGTGAGAATTTTGTATTTTTGTTGTTTATGAAAGAAAGAGAGAGGTGAAGGATCCAATCAAGTGCACATAAAATATCAAGGAAGAATTATATGCTTGTATCAAATAGAAGGTTTGAAGAAAAAAATAATAATAAATAGTGCATTAAACTTAAAGAAGAAGACAATGAATAATACATGTAATGGAACAGGAAAAAAAAATTAAAAAATTTAATTTATATTATTTATTTTATTTCTTATTTTAATATTTTTTTTTGTTTCATTCCTTTTATAATAACATCAACTTTGTTATATTCTTACTAAATCATATTCATTCATTTTTATATATCTTGTAAGTAACAAAGTTATTTTTTTAGGAAGAACTTCTATGGAACCAAATGTCCAGTGAGAATTGAATTAAGCTTGAGGATCAAAACACTTCATTTTTTCATGGCTAAACTATAATTAGAAGAATAAGGAATAAAACTTATGATCTCACTCTTCATAATGGCATATGGTGTTATGATGCACCAAATCTCATGTTACAAATGCACTATTTCACCTAGATAATATCTCTATAATTACACTTGAGAGTGTTTTCAATTTAAAGCAGACTATAATAAACACACACACACACACACACACATATATATATATATATATATATAAGTCAGCTTGTTAAACTTAATAAATTTTATATTTGACTCATTCATGACTTATTTACTTAAACAAATTTAAAAAAAAAATTGAATATTGTTTATTTATTAAAGAAGTTAGGCTAAGTCAAACCTAAAACAAGTCAGGCTGCCTGACGTGTTTCTATCCCTACCATCCTGACAACAGAAATTTTTCAACAACTTTTTAATATAAAATTATTATTATTTTATTTTTAAATTTTAGTTCATTTAGTTTTGATTATGTCGTGTTCTTGTTCAAAGATTTAAATGTTCTTTAACTTGTATAAATGTAATAAATTTATTATTTAAACTCGTGTAATCGTGTATAATATTTTTAGTTTCAAATAAAATATAATTTATATTTATAATAAATAAAAAGAATTATCACATAATATATTAATATAATAATTAAATATTAATAATAATAGAATTAAGAATATAAAAAATATTAATATAATATTATTATTTTATTTTTAAATTTTAGTTTGTTTAATTTCAATTATGTCCTGATCCTATTTGAAGGCTTAATTGCACTTCAACTTATTCAAATGTAACAAATATTATAATTTATTATTTAAACATATGTCTAAATATTATTAGTTAAAATTTTTTATGTATGTTATGTAAAATTTTTAAGGGTATTAAAGAATTTATTTTATATTTATATTTAAAGTAATCATATCATATTTAAACTTAAATTGAATATGTAATTATTAAAAATAATTAAATAATATCAAAACATACGAAAATTGATTAAATTTACTAAAATAATTATTAAATAGTATTTTATAAAATGTTATTTTATTATTTAATTATTGTTTAGTTGAAAATATTTATTATTAATTCTTAATTAAAATTATAAATGTACCATATTAAATTTAGTTAAAAAATTAACTAAATATAAAATCTAAAAATAATTTTATTTTATAATATTTTGAATAATAATAATATTATATATATATAGGTTAGCCTATCAGATTTAATAGATTTTACAATCGGCTCAAGCCTGACTTATTTACTTTAAATAGATCTTAAATAGAACTTGAATCTTTTCTGTTTATTAAAGAGGTTAGGTTAAGTCAGTCATAAAGAAGGTTACTTGACCTGTCTCTATTCCTATCATCTGACAATAGAATTTTTCAACAACTTTATAAAGATACACATCAACTTTCATAAATTTTATATCAAGTTAACCTTCAAAATCTAGTTATTTTTTCCTCATTTTTTAGGAAGTAGATCATCAAAAATAAAATAAGCTAATAAAATTTATTTTAATGCAATATATAAAAAATTTATTAAAAATTTGTAAAAATTGAAAATTATTTTCATAATTTTTTTATACAGCAATATTCTTTAAAAAATTATTAAATAAATGTTTAATTCAATTATTTAATTATTTGAACACAATGATCACCAAAATAGGTATGAGTTACAGGCTTGGAATAATTAATACATAATAAACTTTAAGTTCTTGAATCTAAACTTTATATAAAAAAAAGAATTATTAAATTTATTTATTTTATGAAAATAAGTTTTTTTCATCTATATTTGTCTTAATCATTTGAGCTTATCTATAATATGATATGAAGTGAGAGCATATAAATATAATGTTTACATTTTTATTTAGATTGTGCATACTATATACTGTATAATAAAGCAACACGTCTAAAGTTAAAATCATACACCTAAAAAAAACATTAAAGTCAATTTTAAATTAAAATAATAATATTTTTTTAAAAAAATTATTCCATTAAAAATATGGTTAAAAAAATAATGTTTTAAATATTTTAAATCAATCATAAAACTAATGTAATAAAAAATTTCACCGATCAATATCTTAAAAATAACAGTTAAAATTTAACAAATAATAAATTTACATTAAAAGATATATTAAAACGCATTTACGATGACAAAAAAAAGTGCATTGTTACATTTTTAATCAATATTTTTAAATCTTAAAACACTCATTAGTATTTTGCATTGAATTAAAAAAGATTTATTGAATTAAATAAATATTTATTAGATTCTCATTAAATAAATTTTTCTAACGTGTTTAGAAACACAATAAAAATTAATTAATAATTTTTATTTAATAAAATTATAACATTTAATATTATTGATACATTAAATCATAAAAAATTTAATTAAAATTTATATTTTATATTATTTATTATATATTTGAACATAGATTTAAAAAATTATTATAAAATATTATTCATAACACCTTTTTTTTTATTGAATCATCTTACTCATAAAAATTGAAACTTTTAAAAATATAATAAAAACTTATAAAAGAATATTACAAATCACTTTTATAAGCTCAAATAAAGTATTTTAAATGCCGGTAAATGTATGAAAATAAAAATTATTAAAGAATCATAACTTTAATTCTCATAAAAAAATACTCATCAATTAATGTCGAAAACAAAAACTATGACATCACCGACTAACCACAATACACCATTATCCTAATTAATTCGAATAGTAACATAGTAATATGCTTATTATAAAAAAATTATCAAATAAAAACTATTAATTAAATTTGATAAAAATTTACAAATAAACAGATGATGACCTCAGGAACACCACTCTCTTGCATTCTGAAACACGCGTAACCAAGGACTAGGCCCCTTCTTGTCCACATCCCACTGCTTTGGATACCATGGGAACTGCCACATTAAGAAGCAACGCTCGGGATGAGGCATCATTGCAAGATGCCTCCCATCTGGAGAACAAATAGCAGCTATGCCTAAAGGAGAGCCATTCACATTGAAAGGATAGATCTCTGTTGGATTGCCAGCATCATCACAATATCTAACAGGAGCTAACTCGGAGTGAACTACATGGTCTAACACACCTTCATCTGGGAAATAAGCTCTTCCTTCCCCATGAGCAGCCCATACTCCCAATGTACTACCTGCCATGCCTTTTAACATTATAGCTGGAGAATCCTTTATTGTTACACTTGTAAAGCGGCATTCAAACCGGCCTGACTTGTTGTAAATGAACCTAGGCTGTGAAAGGTCACCTCCAGCACCATGCACGCCACCAACTTGGGGACCCGGTATCCATCCCAGCAAAGCCATTAGCTGACATCCATTGCATACACCTAGACTGAAAGTGTCTGGACGCTTGTAAAACTCCTGAAATTGTTTTAAAAGGGGCTCATTGAATCTTATGCAAGCAGCCCAACCTTTGGCAGAATCAAGCACGTCAGCATAGCTAAATCCACCAACAAAAATAATTCCACGGAACTCTTCCAGAGAAATTGTTCCAGCAAGAAGGTCTGACATAGTAATATCCCACGGTTCAAAACCGGCAGCATAAAAGGCTGCAGCCA